CCCATCAGCTGTGGTCCCCTCGGCCGCCCTCGGCTCTGAGTGTGACCTCGAGGCAGTGGCATCGGCTTCGCAGCCAATTCCAACTCCCCGAATGCCCCAAGCCAATACGTAGTAAGGCTGACTCTGACCTCTCATTCCCAGCTCCTGGGGAAGAAGGGGTTAAGAAGGAGCTGCTCCCTCTCCTGCGGGTCTGATGTTCTGTGCTTTGTCCTCCATGCAGGTCACCTCCGCAACTCGTACCTGGACCTCAAGCGCAGGTATGGGAGCCCCTCGACGTGCCGGGCCTTCCCCTGGGAGAAGGAGCTGAGAGACAAGCACCCCAGCCTGCTCCAGGCCTTGCTGGAGACGGACGTGTTGGGTAATTGCATCTCTGCGGCGGCTCCGGGCGCTGGTTAGAACGGCTCCCGGTTTTTCTCTGCTTTACTCACCCTCTGGTGATTTATGCCTTGAAGTTATTTTAAACCCTAGTGTTCTAGCTTCATTTCAAATTTAAATTCTGCCCTTGTGTGTCCAAAACTTTCCGTATAGCTCTGCGCATTTCTAACACAAAACACAAGAACTGAGATGTAGGGGTTACTCAAGCAATTCTTCCTTTAAAGCCAAGGCCATAAATGAATAGCCTAGAGCCGGAGCTGACCCCAAATGTGGTTGCTTTGGAAATCTCTTGTTGTGTGTGTATTTTAGAATGTAGTTATTTAAACCTTCCATGAGAGAGAGAGAGAGGAGAGAGAGGCACCCCAGTAGGGTCTTCATGTCTTGAACCACCCCTGCTCACAGCCAGCCTGGATCACAGGCATGGATATGTATGTCCAGGGTGCTCAGGGAGGTCCTGGGATTCGAACCTGGGACTTTTCCTATGTGGCTCCAGCTGTGTTATTACTGCACTACCACCTGACCCCCCCCCATGTATATATATATATATATATTTTTAAAAAGTTACCAGTGTCCAAAAACTTGTATAAAAATGCTTTTTTTAAAAAATTCAAAGATCTGGCACCCCCGGGCCCCCATTCCTACATGATGGTAACCCTGAAGGTGAGGCACAGGTGCACGGACACTCTGTCCCCCACCCCAGCCCCTTCTCTGTTTTGTCACCTCTTGCCTACTTCCCTCACGGAGCTGACCCTCTTGGCCCTCCGGCACTTGAACTGGAGACTGATTTGAAATATGTGCTGGGCATTATCTCAGGAATCTGCAGGTATTTCCCTGGTGCCCCCAGGTTCTCCTGAGGCCCACGGTGGTTCGGGTTTGCTTCGTAACTGCGCACACCCTGGAGGGCCCCGGGGATCTTGAAACCAAGCCTGTTTGGAAGAGGGGAAGACACCAGAAACGTCCCTCCTGGGATAGTGTGTCTCACGCCTGCTGTGGTAACTGTCTTGGGGGTGAGCAGCAGCCCGTGGTATTCTGGGCAAAAAGCAAAGCCCGAAATGCAAAAAACCCAATTCCACCGCGTCACATCCTTGGAATCACATCCTTGGACCGGCGGTGTCCAGTGGCCTAGATTTTCTGTGCAGATAGGGACCCTCCTTGTCCCGGAAGGGTTTTCTCCCAGTCCCTCGGGATGGTTTATCTTTCATTCTTTGAGAACTTGCTGAGTGACTACTCAATTACTTGGCTAGATTTCAGAGATAAGTGAACTAGCACAAGGTCCCTGCCCAGGAGGGACAGACTTGAAGGCAAAGAACAATAGCAATGCGTTTAAACAAAGGAAGGGAAGGTGGAGGTACAAAGGAGGGGTGTCAGTTCTCCCAGGAGACCAGGGCATTCTGGAAGGCTTCCGAGAGGAGGTGATACTGGAGCTGGCTCTTGGCAGGTCAGTAGGTGTTTATCAATAAGCAGGGTGGGGACAGCTTGGCCCGGTGGATGCGTTGAAGGGCTTGTGCAAGGGCTTGTGGAGGCAGGAGTAGCCTCAGAGGCTGATGGCTCCAGCTAGCCTCAGATGCCACCCAGCAGAGTGTTGGGTGGGTGTTG